CTCTAACGTCGAGTCCTTCAATGATTATTACCTCCTTTAACTTGACCTCTTTAAGTGAAGCGACATAACATTCCCTGGCCACGGTCTGCTCTCCCCTCACAGTGCCGACCCCAAGGTTGGTGGGGAATTTGACGGCAAGATGAAAAGTGGATGTGACAACTTGGAAAGCATTTAGGGCGGTGTGGCCGAGGATAATGTTGTAAGCAGAGGGACAGTCGACGACGAGAAAAGTGAGCAATTTTGTGGTCTGTCGCAGGTATTCTCTGATTGTGATGAGAAGATCGATGGAGCCTGTGGAGGCCACCCGATCTCCAGTAAAACAGACCAATGGGGTTTGGAGAGGGGACAAACTTTCTTCCCCGACCTTGAGCTGGCGAAAAGCGTTTAGGAAAATGTTGTCTGAAGAACTGTCGTTGTCGATGAGAACCCGTCTGACTTTGTAATTGAAGAGGAGGGCAGAGATGACGAGGGGGTCGTCATGGGGGTAACGGATGCCTGTGTAGTTGGCCTCCGTAAAGGTGATGGGCTCCATCTACTGTTTGGGCTGTTTGGAAGGGCGGTCCAATGTGGCAACTTCTTTATCTGAACCTTGCCTTATTTTTCTGAGTTCTACCCGCTGAGCCGAGTGCGATGGTCCTCCACAAGCAAGCTCGCCAGCAATAACTCTGATCTCTCCAACAAGGAGGGTAGGGTTGCCTTATGCCCAGGGTTGCTGTGGAGGCCTATCATGACCTTGGTTAGGTTGTGCGAGTTGTCGATGAGGGGTGCGTCGATGGTTGTTTTTGAATGGTTCAGTCATTTGCCTTTGCTGGGGACGGGCTGCCGTAAACTGACTGAGGCATCCCTGACGTATCAAGCCCTCGACCTAGTCTTTGAGATTAACACACTCCTCTGTATTATGGTCGTGGTCCTGATAAAAGCGGCAGTATTTGGATTGGTCTCGCCGGTTGAAAGGAGATCGTGACGGTTGGGGCCATTTTAGGGTATAATCTCGTTGAATCTGGTTCAGGACTTGTTCCATGGGGGAATTGAGGGGTGTGTATCGCTCGAACCGGCTGGGGGTCGGGCTGGCGCCGACTGGTCGGCTCAGGTTGGTCGGTCGGTATACTGAGGTGTTTGGTGAGTGTACTGGGTATTTCTAATTTCAGAGTCCTTTCTCTGGGTGTTTGGGGGTCGGGTTTTTGGCTGTAGGATCTTGTCGAGCGGCTAGGGAATTTTCGGCGTTCATGTATTTTTAGGCTTTGGAAAGTAGGGTTGCCATGCAGATCGGGGGGTTTTTGGAGAGAGAAAAAAGGCAATCAGATGACCGTAGACCGGCCATAAAAGCCGTGAGGATGAGCTTGTCATCGTTTTCTGCTACCTGCAGGGCTTCGGTGTTAAAACGAGTGACGAAGCTATGCAGCGACTCCCCCTCAGTTTGATGGATGTTGAGGAGTTGGGTTGTCGGACGCCGCTAGCGTTGGGTACCAATGAAATGGTTGAGAAATAAGTCATTTAGGTGCTGAAAAGTAGAGACAGAGTCTGTTGGGAGTTGACTAAACCAGAGTCGAGCTGACCCCTTAAGTGTTACGGGGAAAGCCCCACACATGATCTCGTCGGGGAATGCATGGAGGATCATGAGGGTCCTGTAAGTTTCCAAATGGTCGACCGGGTCTGTTGTGCAGTCGAAAGAGTCGAGCGAAGGCATTTTGAACTTAGGAGGTAAGGGTTTGTCCCTGATAGAGACAACGAATGATGAGTTGGCTGTGGTAAATGGTTTATTCTGTATGTTCTGTATGACTCCTTGGAGTTGGAGCTTCATGGCTCGGAGTTCTGCGTCCTAGAGAGAAGCGTCGTTGCCATCGAAATGCAGCGGAGGCTGGACATTACTAGCCTCTCCCTCGGGGGTGGGTACCTGGACCGATGACTGTGGGGCCTGAGGTGGCGGGTTCATATCTGGAGGAGGGGGTCGCAACCCTTTCAAGTTGGGTGGGTAAGGCTGTTGGATAGGGTGGCTCGGGGCTCGTTCTTGGTTGGATGGGATATCTTGAGGTAGAAGAGGAGGGACGGGAAGCACTTTTTGAAGCAAAGCATTGATCAGGGCTTGGTTTTGCTCTGCTAAGCGGTTGATGCTGTTAGTAAGTCCTGTGAAGTACTGCAGTAGGTTATTTGGATTGGGAGGGTCGGCTTGGTGGTCGTGAGAAGCCATGGATCTAGTTGTGACCATCCACCTTGGTGGGTGGTAGGAAGGGGTTAGTGGGAAGGGGTCTCCGGCGACAATGAGCACAACTAGCGCGCGGAGCAAAAGGATTCTCACAGACGGCGCTAACTGATGATACAGCGTGTTCCAGATGGAACGGGTCGGATTGATCCACGCTTCCCAAACTGGTGCCCGAGATACCAAGCCCACCGAGAGACCTGCACAAAAGTTCAACGGGGAACGGGGAGTCCCCCCAGCGAACCCTCTGACGCACAAGTTAGAAAGAGAGATGGAATGTAGAGATAGATTAGTAATAGAAAAGCTTAACCTTTTCCTTGTCTTCGATGCCTGCTTATATCCTCTGCTAATCATTTCGTTGTCCCTTCCAACGTGTCACCTTGGCTGAAAGTCTATGCTCTAACTTCCTTTGTTCATGGTAAGGCCGTTCTGTCCCGACGAGGAAGGGTTATCACAATAAATGCTGTAGGAAAGCTTATTAGTGACTGATGTGTGATGTAATAACTTTGCAAGATCTTTGTCTGCTGATGTGGGTGATTCTCTACTTGCTAAGTATTTAGATGTTATTGATATTTGATGCAACGCTGAGTTTCACAAGTGTTAAATTTTAGTATTTGAATCATGAATTAAACACCGGGGGCCAGACCATATCATCATTTCCATGACTCAAACAACAAAAGCACGCATAATTAAAGGTTATTCACCGGGGGCCAGACTATATCATCATTTCCATGACTCAAACAACAAAAGCACGCATACCCATATGCCTTGCAACTTTTCCCAAAAAGTTCAAGAAGAGAAGGTCATCCGACTCAACTGTTCCATCAAAAGGTTGTTTAAAAAAAAATAAAAATTAGAGAATTATTATTCAACATAAAAAAATTAAACTCACTTTCTAAATTTAATAATATGACAATTGTTCTAAGTTTAATAATATGACAATTCATTAAGATATTATAGATAATAAACTCTCTTATATTTTTTTTAATTATCAATAAATTATATTATTTATATATCATTAAGTCTAAAATGTGAGTTTCTATATCAATTTTCTGAAAATTATAGTCATAAAAAAATCATATAAATCAGCTATTCACGTTTTCAATATAATTTTAAAAAAATTATTCTCTAACGTTTTAAATAATTAAAAAATTAATTCTCAAACAAACGGTGGTAGTCAAATTTTCAAATTTGTTTTTACAAGTTGAGCAAAGCAGGTTTGCTATTGTAATGTAACAGTTGTCCAATCAGGCGGTCTATTCCCTCATGCTGCAACTGATGGTTTTGATTATTATTTATTTGTCTTTTTCATCTGAGAGAATATAAAAAAGGTGGATGATGAAAAAATAATTATAAAATGATTTACTAGTTGAGAAAATAAGTGATTTATGTATTTAATTATGTAAATAAATCTTATATTTTTATTAGTTGAGAAAAAAAAATTTCCACTCCCTATTTTGTTGAAATTCTCCCCTTTAAAATTCTCTCCTTTTATCATCTACTCTCTAACCTAGAATGGAGAGAGGGAGGGAGAGGGAGAGAGAGAGAGTTGAAGTAGTGAGGAAGGAGACGGGGCTTCAACCAGAGGAGTGGTTAAAAGGGTTGTTTTGAGAAGTAAATTAAAAATTAATTTTTTAATTTTTTTTAAAATACGTAAAAAAAATAAAAAAGTGATATAATTTAAAAGAGGTTAAAAGTGACTTTTAATCTCTTTACCCGAAGAGGCCATAATCTCACAAATCTATTTTATTTTATTTATAAAATTGAAAAACAAAAACAAAGAAAGAGAGAGAGAGAGAGAGAGAGAGAGATGGGTATCTATTTAATTTGATTTTTCAAAATTATACAAAAATATGGCTGTTTGGTACAAAAAAATTAGGACTAAAAAAACACAAAAGACAAATAGAATAAATAAGTCAATAACACAAAAATATCATATCAAAATCATAATTATTTTAATTTTTCTCTTACAAAAGTTAAAACCAAAAAAACTAACCCAAACGAATTTTTTAATCTCAAGTTAAAAAAAAAACAATTCAAAAAAGTTAACTAAGAAAGCCATAGCCAAACGACAACTTTGTATACATTTTTATTCAAATTTTTGTTTGTTTTTAGTGATTTTATATTTCATATTTTAGTTAAATATTTTTAGTTTTTAAATACATCTAATCTTAATATATATAAAAAGTAAAAAATCAACTAAAATATGAAAAAACATTCAACACAGAAAACAAAAATTCGTTTAAAAATCATTTCTCAAGATATAAACCAAACAAAGCCAAATGGCAAGGCTGGGGTATCTACAATAGTTAAAAAGTAATAATAGATAATAATTTAAATAATTAAGCCAATGATAAGGGAGATGGATTTGGCTTCCAAAATCACAAACAATTCTCACTATACAAAATTATTGACACTAATAATAATAATAATAATAATAAATAGCTCAAGCAAAATATACTATTAACAAAAAGCAGGTCATTTTTTGATAGGAATATGTATTAGAGGGAGATACACCAAAATTAATATTTTGAAGGGGTAAATAACAGATCATTTTCTATTAAAACAAATGTTAAGCGGTTTTAAAAGATTTAAGGGGGCATACGTACAATTTCAAGTGGGCAAAATGGTATGTGCCACCTGTGGCCCCTGTAAATATCTGTCAATACTTATTTTTCTACCCCAACCAAATAAAACTAAGAATTTACTTCTTTTTTTCTTCCTATCTTTTCCATTTTCTTTTCTTTTCTTTTTTTGTCCAAGATCCAAAAACAATGGCAATGCAATCATCCAAAAACAAAAAGAAATCAACAAGTAAAATGAGTCTTTGAAGAATCCTTCATGAGTTAGAGAGAAACAACTGGACAATATCAGTAAATTGAGAGAAAACCTACAGAAATCCCACATAATGTGCAGCAAACATAAATTAAAGCCAAATTAGCCTCGAAATTCCATCCCAACTCTACAGGCTGCAAGAACAAGCCACGACAACGCTCTCTATAGGCGACAGATACTGGGCAATGATGCGCAATGGATAAAAGGTATAACTTAAGTGCCACAAGTACCTCAAGTATGTCCATAACTATGTATATATAAAAGGTAGATATATAAATCAGCAGATCAGATTAGAAGAAGTGAAACTCAGTGCATCAATGCACGAGGAGCACGGGGCCTAACAGGTGTCTTTGACGGGCTTACCCTGTATTTATGCAAAACAAAATTGAATTAATAAATTTAAACACCAACTCAAGTTCAGTAATACAGAGCTAGTCACACAAATTCTTCTCTTACGGAGTCAGGTTGCAATTGGTCCAATTAGTCTCGTTCAGCATACAGATTTATTGGAGTTCTTTATTCATTCTCCTTCAAAAAGTTTTAAAGGATAATGAAAAATTTTACGAGCTTTGTTGTGGACATGGGTTGCCCTAAACAATAGGGGAAAAAGTTGGGTGTTCCATTCCAAAGAGAGGGGGTGGGTCTTGGCATTGGATCAATGAAAGAGTGGAACAAAGCCACTATGTCAAGCGGATCCACACTTGAATAATAACATAAGGTCATGTTTGTTTGGGTGGACATGAGCTTGGGATTGGACTAATAGTCCAATAAAATTATTAATCCGATGTTTGGTTAAACAATTGAAGTACGGATTAATTATTTTAAACTTGACTATTAGTTAAGATAGGATACATAATCCAACGGATTGGTAGTCCTAAGACTATTAGTCATAGGAATACTAATCCAGTCCGCCCAAACAAACATGGCCTAACAGTTTAAGGGGATATTGTCCATGAGAAAAAATTTAACCTTGAGATTTGGGGCTGCCTTTTATGAAATACAAGGTAATGGCCAATCCACATTTTGATGAATGGACAATTGGGGTCCATTGCGGCCTTATGTAGAAAAAATATGGAGATCGGGCAATAGAAAGTCTTGGAAAAGCTTTAAGAGATGAAGTATCGGATATAATTCATTCATGAAGGTAGCTAGAAATGGCCAAGACAGAGAAGCAGATGCCTTCAAGAAATCATAGCCAATACCCCCCAACACCTCTCTCTTTGACAGCGAACAATGATAATGTTGTATGGACTCCTTTCTTATATGGACCAAAGCTCAAGAAACTCAGCAGCATCTCTTTTTTACTGGTCCTTACTCAACTGCCATTTGGAAAGAAATGCTGAAGAAGATGAGATCCTATGGTGCCCAGTAAGAAGAATCACAATTGTGCCGTCTATAAACTCTCACTTGCAGTTGAAGTATATTACATTAGGAAAGGAAGGGTACAGCAGAGTTTTTTTTTTTTGTTATCAGAAAAGGAGGAAGATATCAGATGATGTTAGGTTCAGAATTAGTTCTTGGAGAATGGTGAAGAACAGCCAAGCTAATTGGCAGCTACGCCTTGCTTGGAAAATCTCAACAAGAATTTTAAAAAGACAGTTGAAAGTTGGTTTTGTTTCTATGGCTTGGTAAGCTAGTCAGTTGGCCTCGTTGTTGATAGGTTTTTGAAGTGATAGCTTGTTTCTTTCAGATGTGTTTGTGGTTTGTATTAGAGGGGTTTCATCTCGTCTTGATTACGTATCCTGATATATATCTCCGTAATTTTTTTTATTATCTACCAAAAAAATATAGTCAAAGTATGTAAAGTGCACAATTCACAAAACCAACCTTATAGGCAGTGATCCCAAAACCACACCACTACAGTTCAAAGCAGCAATTGCACTCTCAGCCTGCAAGAAAATAGAACCTAGCATAAGAACTCCATCTTTTACAGAGTATTATATCACCAATCAATCTACAAAGCAGGCTAAAAATGATGACAAAAATATCAATGGCATATTACACAATAAAATCTAAAAACCAAATTCTTCATATGAAAATAATAAAACAGCAGCCAATGACATCTCCACTAATTTAGTCATTCTCTAATTATGTAATACCAATTCATTTCAATGACACTCTGCAAGGCCCATAAACTAAGGACCAGTCCAATTCAACAACTGGATCCATACTGAAATCCCCTAGAAAAGGAACACCATGAAATGCCAGGGAGATCCATCACTAGTGGTCATGTTCCAAGAACTTAGATATTGCCCTGGAGATCTAGGGATTTAAAGAGAAGCCACGCGGTGAAAATTATAATGTCATTACGAAAGTGGATAAATTCAGCAAGACTGTCAATTATAAGGTAACTAGAAAATGAACAGAACAGAAGAACAAAGAAATTTATAATAAACAAATAAAAACAGAAAAGGTACTCAACAAATGACCAAAAAGGAAATTAATTCTTAAGCCCACTAAGAAGCCTACATCAAAGCCAGATGTAAAATGGAAAAATTAAACCTTTGTACAATCATGCAGGATACTTCAGTTTAATACTTGTATTATACCAATGTAATTGTGAGGTCAAGGGACCAATCCCAGCTTAAACACCAAAACACAAAACACAAAATACTGACTGGCTTATGATGCTGATTGAGCATTTGTTTGTATCAAGAGGCATTTTCTTAATACTACTTAAAAGTCTGCATTGCAATTACAAGGTTAAGCTGGCTAGTCATAACTTAATCACCTCAAACAAAAGCCTGTGAAATTCACAAATCAAGGCTAATAATAATACCACATATTAAGATCTCCATCACGGAACTGCATTCCCTATATCCTTCTCTTGCATGTGTTCTAACTGTGAGACTGTGGAACCCATTCAGCTTAACACAGCATAGGATTGTGTTGCAAGGGGGACCCAAAAGAAAGAAGAATAAGGAGAAGAGAATAAAAGTTATGCTATGAAACTGCATTGCTAGTTTATAGGTCTGATTATGGGCCCACAATTATGTTTATTTAGTTGTATATGCCTTGAACTATGAATAAATTATTTAAATCCAGGACAAAAAAATATATATCAGACCTAATTCAACTGCCACCCAGTTTCCGTCTAGTGTTGTTTATCAAAACATAAATCCTAGCTTATTAGTAAGGTTTTGCAAACCAAACGAACCATTTGGAAAATGATTTTACAAGAGATTAAATAAGTGAAAATTAAAAGACATCCAGTTTCTGCATCTTCAATCATCATATTAAAGGTGGGGGAGTTAAAAGGTCTCCCATATAAATAGCAAGATAAATGCACTGTGTGAACATCACACATTTAACGAATAATAATGAAAATGTTATTGGACAAAAATTAAGGTCAAACATCAAAAGACAAGAAGCAGATCATCATGCTTTATGACAAAGTTGCTATCACATACTAGTAAATAAAAAAAATGGCAGTCACCACAAAGCAGTAAAACATAAGATCATAATGACATGAATCAATCATTGTGAACACAAAGGTCCATTGCACTTAATAATTCTCAGCGCATGGCAGTCAAAAATAAGGTAGATACATATGCCAGTCAAGAGAGGCACTCCAATCAATGAATAAATAATCAAAACAAAAAGTTCAAGGAGATGCCTATTTAAGACAAAATCTAACTTGGTTGGTTCTGTTAAAAGCAAAGAAGTCCAATGAGTACACTACACAACGGGTGATGTGGTTTTTAAGTTAGAGGCAACGCAAGACTGGATAGCATCGAGCCCATTGTATATAGCCACAAGTTCCCCAACTAAACAACAAACCGCACTTGGAGGTTCAAATGCAAGCTCTGCACTCCATTCCAAAGCAGCAAGCTAGGACATAAGCATCTCTAAAACCACTTATCCTGAAAGAATCACGTGACAAGTCGTGTGTCCATAACTGGAGAAACAGTATAAGGCTTCAAACAAGCACAATATTCATCCATAATGGTTCCTCCTTTTTTCATACAACAATTAGACAGACTACCAAAGTAAAGAGAGGAGAAAAAAGGAAAAATAACCAGCAAATAAACAGCAGAAGAAAGACAAAAAGGCTCCAATATTTTCTCCCTCAGTGATGAGAATGCACTTCCTGAGGGAAAAAGCCATCATCTAAACTGGAAAACCTCAAACTGTGTGCCATACACCCACATTAGCAGCAGCCCTGGAGATCTAGGGATTTTATTGCGGGCCTAAGAGGGAATGAAGCTGAGACCCTCTGAAATATCCTCAACTATGGTCTGCAAGGTCCAAGGGTAGTACGAAGATGATATGTTCATGGCTAACATGGGATTCTCTCCAAAGTAGATGAAATTCTTACCTTAATGGTTGCCTTGGCAACAAGCCTAATGGCTTACGTCTGTGGTAAATCAGGCGAATCAACCATAACAGCTTCACACAGAGACCTTTTTTCTGTTTTTGTTTTTCCCCTCCTGATAAGATCACAAAATGATCCTGTTGTCGGGTAACAGTCTGACTCCAAATCTTGGCTTGGTGAGAGAAGCAAAACCACAATGTCATCATTGCGTGCTCCTGATTTAACCTACCTACACACGGAGAGAAAAACTTTGCACCACCTTTGCGACTATTGTGGCCAAACATGTCAATCCACTTGCACAACAATCTTTGATAGCTAACTGACTCCACCATTGTGGGCCAAGTATGCCCTATGAGGGCATCCTCATCATCAGGCCAATAAAAAATTATGAAGACTTCAAGGACTCAGCCAACATACAGCAGATCAAAAGCACTATGTCACCATTGCTAGGGGCAAACCCATGTTTGCACCAATCGGTGCCATGGCACCCCGCACACCGAAAGAAATTTATGTATATCCCAAATATGTACTACTAACACATTTTTTGAAAGCTGATGATTTCTTCAAATGGAACCCCAAAAAAATTCAATTCTATATGGTGGCCAGTGTTTTAAAAAGCCCTAGGCGCATTGAGGCGCCAAGGTCACCTGGAGCTTAAGCCCCGAGGCGCGAGGCGAGGCGCGCGCCTCACCAAAGCGAGGCGCAAGTTATAGAAGTTAAGCAAAATATTAATAAAGCACAATTTTCAACATAAACAAATATTTAATATGTATATTATTAATTTTTTTAATAAGAAGAAAAAAAATAATTAATTTTTTAATATATATATTATTTTATTTATTTATTATATTTTTTAAATGATGTGTTTTAATTAATTTTTTTATTTTATTTTATATACATGTGTTTATTTTTAAATAATAAAATATATATACATAATTTTAAAAAGGCAAAATTATAAAAGAGGCAAAAATTTTAACAAAAAATATATATATACATAATTTAAAAAATCATAACAATTTTCAATAATCTCTAAACATAACATTCAATCTTCTAAAAATTAGAAATATAATATCCAACAAGAAATATAAAGCATAGCATTCAACCTTTTATCACTTTTTGCTCTCTTTTGACCACATTTGGTCATTTTATATTGAAGAGTTTTGAATCCCTATAGGCATGTCCACAAAAAAAGCACTTAATCGACAATTAGAGTAGAAAAATAGGTAAAGCCCATGAAGCCCGCGTCTTGCGCCTCGCGCCTCGAAAAAAAGCCCTCGCCTCAGCGCCTAAGCTGCGCCTCACGTATTGCGCCTCGCCTCGACCTGCTCGAGGCGCAAGGCTGCGCCTCGCGCTTAGGCGCGAGCCTAAGCGCGCTTTTTAAACCACTGATGGTGGCATTACCATAGCATTTGAAATGGTACACATACCAACAAATTCTATATTCATGCTCCAAAATAGCCTTTATTGATTACGTCAAATAAAAACTAACCATCAATTTTTTTTTTGAAACCGAGACCCTCATTTATACTAATTACAGAATATTTTTGATAATGTGAATTGTTGTAGTAAGTAACTTGCAATTGGATATTTTTACTTGGTATAATTGTAGTTTCACTTTATGAGATAACCTCAATATGAGTTTAGGGCCTGCACTTGTTCTAGTTATAATTAATGTTGATGAGTTCAATATGGAACGATGGGATGATTTATTTTTTCTAATTTTTATGCAACATACATGAAAATATTATAAATATTAGTATGAAATTGAGTTGTAATTGAATGATTACGTGATTAAATTGACATGAAATTATGGAGTTTAAAAAAGTTATATGAAATTACGTCATAATCGATTGTATGGAGCAATTATTTGAAATCTGACCCATATCTGATTTGTCAATGAGGAGAGGTGGAGAGACGCGGAAGGGGACACTGCTTGGCATCCCCAAATATGAAATTCCGGTTCCACCCCTGACCATTGCGTGCTCCTAACTTAACATACCGACACAAGAAGAGAAAAGCTCTGCACCACCTCATGACTGTTGTTGCCAATCGTGCCAATCCACTTGCACAACAATCCTTGATAGCTATCTGACTCCACAATTGTGAGACGACTATGCCCTATGAGTGCATCCTCATCAGACCTATCAACATTATGCAGCCTTTGAGGATTTAGCCAACTTGTGGCAGCTTACTCCCTTCAGTCTATACACAAGTCATCCCTTTATGTCTAGCTCATCGAACTCAATTAAAGGGATTTGAATCCCAACCTCAAAGCCAATTGTGCTGTCTGCTCTTAGGACCTCCTCATAAGACACTTGCACAAATTCAGACAAGACACCATTTCAACCACCATTCCATCAAGCATTTGTAATCTAGCCAAAATTTCCCACAAGCATTTCCGACTCAGTCAGAAGAGGAGCCATACAAAATGGAGAAAATATGCAGTATGCAACTTGCGCATATTGAGAAACAGTACTAAGTTGAGCAGGATCCTAGACCACAGAAGTGCAACACAAACATAGCTAATGCCCTGACTGCTTCAATACCCATTTCACAACACTTAAAAGGTAAATACAATCTAGAAAACAAGGATAAAGGCAAAGCCAAAAAAGGTGTGGCTGACCCATCGGAGGAAACATAATGGCCTGTGATTTTCTTCTCTTTTTTTTTTTCTTTTTTTTTTTTTTAACTATTGTTGACAGTTTGATAGACAGAAAGAGGATTTAAACACATTTCTGCGGCTAATATTGTTGTAAGACAAAAATGCCCATTTGGCCTTCCCCCTCACCCACCGCTCACACCAATTACAAAAACGATTTCTTACATAACCCTACCTCCTCATCCAATGGCAGAGGCACCAAAGATTCGTGCATACTTCCAGCACCAAATAATTAGGATACCTACATGCAGTTGAGTGTTTTCTAGGATGAAATAATTTAAAAGTACAATGATTTCACAATCACAAAAAATCGAGTTTTGGAATGATTAATAAAACCATAAAACATTTAAATACATTAGCAAAAGAAAGTTGTCTGGAAATAGAAAAAAGACCAGCAGTCTACAAGAAGTAAGGAACAACAACATGATTTGTGTAACCAGGCCCGGCCCTGAGGGTAGGCCAAAGAGGCCTGCGCCTTGGGCCCCCAGATTTGGCTTGAAAATAAGGCCCCAAAATATGATTTTGTGTTTTAGATTAAAAAAAAATCTAAATGCTATAAGCCCAATTGTATATAGGGCCTAAAAAAAAAATATCATGATAGATTAGAGGCCCAACTGACATGGGCCCAAAAACAAGAAACACATTATAATTTATAATACCCACTCTGAGGCTAAGAAGGGTTTGGGGATGCTGCTGCTCTTCAGGCGCAGCAGCAACTGCTACGAGATTGACATCGTTTTTAGTTGTTTTGGACCCCATCTGTGTACTGCACCTCTTTCCACTTTATTTCTCATCTCTTTTTACTGAACCTCTCAGAAATAAAATATAAGGTAAATTGCATTCATCTCTTTTAATGTTTGAAAAAAAAAAAAAAACTATAATTTATGTTATATTTTTGATATAATTACACTGATAATCTTTAAGTATCAAATTAAGTCATTTTTAATCAATAATTCTTGAATTGTACAAATGAAAAAAAAATAATGTTATCATTTATCTACTCAAATATATATATATATATATATATATATATTTATTTATTTATTTATTTCAATGTTTAGTCACCATCTATTAAAATATAAAAATTGAAGAAATTTATTTTAGAAGAAATAACATTTCAGTGGAACAATTACAAAATAATTGTACATAATTTTTTAAATTTTTTTTCGGTGCAAGTCTCACAAAAAATAATTGCACCAAAATATTAAAAAAAACAATTACACCACACAGACTTGCATCCTATAAAAATAATGAGATTATTTTTCCGTTGTGCAAGTAAAATACGTGCTTTAGTGGAAGTCTATAATTTTTGTTATGCTCTAATTCTGAAAGTGTATTATTTGTAGAGATCAGTGATTGTGAATTTGTGTGGATTTGTGATTATATAGAGTAGTCATGCCTCCTAAGAAATATATTTCTGGATGTGAAAAAAGGAAAAAGAAGCAAAAATTAGAAAATTTTATTCAATCTCAATCGGGAGTGCTTGATAAATTTTTTGGTAGCAAGAAACAAATAGAAAGTTCATGTTTGGTTGATGAAGATTTGGTAATTGAAGAACTTAATCAATGTAATGAGAATGATAATGAAGATTTGGGTGTTGAAGAGCATGTTTGAATGAGAATGGAAATGAAGATTTGGCTACAAACAAATAAAAAAATTGTTGTAACTTATCGTTTTATCCATCAACTTTTTTTTTTTTTTTCAATGTAAGAAAGGCCCCATTTCCGAAAGTCGCCTTGGGCCCTCTAAATCTTAGGGCCGGCCCTGAGTGTAACTGAACCTAAATGGTTCAGATTATGCCTCTGAAGTTCAACTAACTCTTTCCATAAGCACCCTGACTCTATCACCAAAGATACTTCCCTTTTCTACTTAATTGTCCACATTTCTCCCAAAAAATATATACATTTAAAAAGCAAAGATATATTATCACTGGACCATGTTGATCTACTATGATTCCTCAATTTCTAGAAAGTTATGAAGGCATTATACACACCTCTAACAAACTATACAGAACCGCCCTTATTTTTTCTCTACACGTGTCACACCTTTTATAACCATCAATTCATAACATCAATTATGTCATCGTGCAACCATCAATTCATAACATCAATTATATCATTGGGGATCTGTACAATCATTGCTACCACTTCTAAAATAAAACAGATTTACACAAATAAATTATCTTTAAGAAACTGGCTTTTCACATAGATTATAGAAACTCAATCTATCCAAAATTAAAACAAATTTGAAAGTCCAACTCCAAAATGTACTAAAAAGAAATAAACTATGCAACATAAATAGCCTGACCCTGGCAAAATATGCGAATCATGCAAATTTGTATTGCAAAAGAGATAACAAAGTGTAGCAAGAAGCTAATAGAATGGACATGAAAGCAACATATATGTATTCATATCGACTCCAAAACAGACAAGAAGAAAAGAGACCATTAAAGTTGCATATAACTGTTGAGCAATAAAACAAGTGAAAAGTTTGTCGTAGTTACCACCACAAACTCAACAAAAGCAATACGAGTCGAATGATGATAGTCTCCAAGCAACCTCAAGCGCTGAACCTATGGCAGACAAGATGTTCCACAATATATGGTTAGGAATTTAGGAAGGAGCAGCCCTTTCAGACTTGTCACACAAAAAGCTACAAACCTCTCCACAAATGGTCTCAAAAAAGAGTTTGACATCTGCTTGAGTAACCTGTGTCAGATATACATACAAACAATAAACAATTTGCCAACTCAAAGCTTGTTAACCACATACAAAGGTGATGTCTAATTCCAAAATTACCTTCTTATCGATGTTTGTACAATAAATAGTCCTTGCACACATCTCTCTTTCATCTTCAGACTAGAGAGCACAATATCAATCAGCACAAGCAAAAGGCAACAAATTTGTATCAGCCAGCATGACTTTCATATAAATTCAATTTCCAAGAATAGATTCTGGCATGAAGAATGCATATTACAAGTAAGTGAACCAGTAGAAGTTCTCACCCTTGGCAAAAATGTTGGATTAACAGGTGCAATTGCAGTTTTTGAAGGCAGCACCCTAACTGGGTAATATCCAAGCATAGTCCCTGACAGACTCAAAGCATTCCTTGCACCTTCTGCAGTCAATTAAAATGTATCACCACCCAAATTTATTAACTATGATGTATCAAAAAAAGAAATAACACCTATCAAAAAAATATATCAAATAAATGAGGTCATCAACATTACCCTCATCGGTGAACTCAATAAAGGCAAAACGGAGAACGGAATTAGGATCACCACATACACGACAGTCGACCACCTTCAACCCAAAAATAGGAAGAAAACATTCAGAAATGCAATCATTCATTAGCTTTCATAAAAGGGGGTGTCAACGTGATAATAGACAGGCAGTTACCTGTCCACAATTAACAAAGAGAGCTGCAAGTTGTTCTTCAGTAACCTGAATCAAAGCGGAAACCAAAACTATCATTTCTCATTGAACACATTCTAAATATCCATAGCAAGACGACAGAAAAATAACAATCCAAAAACCAAGATAACTCTTTACCTGATGATCAATGTCAGATACATATACAGTCCTCCTAATCACCTCTTCTCGCTGTGCCATACTGGTACGGCTGTTCATCCTTCTCTTCCCATTACTATAGTTATTCTTCTTCTGAACATACAATTGCAAAACCAAAACCATCAACAAAACAACACAATGTGACACAAAACTAATATGAACAAAAATTGCAAAAAAAAATAAAGAATTAATCTTTTTCTCTCTTTTTTCTTTTCTTTTTTTCTTTTTTTTTTTTTTCTTCTTTTTTTTCTTTTCTTTTTGGGGCTGTGTCTGTGTGTGTGTGTGTGTGGGCGGGGGGTGGGGTGGGGTGGAACATATAATTTTATGAGTCCTATATTTTCTTCTTTTACATTCCCCAAATCAACTCCAATCCAACTATGCCAGATACCGATCAGCTGAGTAACATCTACTGTTAACAGAAGTTTCCAAATTTAGCTATATTTTCAGAAAATTTCTTAGCAACCAAACAGCAAGAGCGTGTAAAGGAAAATTAGATATATACCCGTCTAGCAGTGTTTCCGTTGGCAATGCCATTAGTTTGCATCACAAAATTGGCAGTGTACCCAAGTTGAGGTATGTGGGTAGCTAGTGAAGGCGGCACAAATTCTTCAGCCATGGGATTCAATTTAGACAACATTTCCTCCAAATCCCTCATCTCGCGGTTAAAACCCTCACCACCATCATCACCATTTCTCCGCAATTCGACTCCGTTCGCCACCATCGGATGACTCTGAACACCATTCCCGTTGATTCCGTGCTGAACTAGACTCATCTCAGCCTTATGATTACCAGTACCGTTAACCTGAGAAGTGTTCATCGCAATCGCTGGTGTTGTCTTCTGTTGCTGATGAACGATCATGTGGAAATTCTGATCATTTGACCTCAAAATAGGGTTACTGCTGATGTTCTGTGTCCCCGTCTGATTCGACTTCGATTGATCAACATCGGAGTCAGTCCGATTTGACGAGCCAGCATTCTCAACGACCGCCATGATCGAACAACCTTTTAAAAAAAAAAAAAAAATCTTCTTCACCGATTTAGTCCTGCAAAGATTTTCCGATCGATCAAACAGAAAATTTTCCCGAGAAAAACAAAAAGGTGAATTTATCAGATAAAACAAATACCAGATTAGTCTAAATCATGTTCATTGATCAACAAACCACAACAACTCGAAGATCAGAGCAAAAAACAATGAAGAAAAACAAGGTAGAACAGAGCAGAACTTTTCCTTTTCTTCTTTTTTATATACTATTATTTTACTGATTCAGCTCATAGAATATATATATATACATATACATATATACAGAGAGAAAGAAAATTAAGGTTTTTTTTTCCTAGAGCGAGAAAGGGAAGGAAAATTTTAGAGAGAGAGAAAACAGGTGTGTGCTTCGGATCGTCCGTTTTCGCCACTAACCTTTTTGGACTTTCCTTCGCAACGTCCCAAATCGATGAACAGTGAAGACTGAACACACTTCAACCCAGATTTTTCTTTTTAAACCAAAAATAAATAAAAATGTATTTCTATTTTAATTTTTTAAATCTATTTATTTATTGAAAAAAACCAAATATTCATCATAAATGATATAGATTATTAGATAACATCAAAAAAATATACATGTAATTACACATACATCATCGTGATAATAACTACTACATAATTAGAGATATACACGTGTTTACTATTTGCGTTTGCATACGTGGCAATTGAGGAATGGACCACTGCATGTATGACCAAATTATTCTGGTAATTTACAATTAGATTCTTGAGGGCTTTTTATAGATGCATTTGCTTTGTGTTTGGGGATTTTTTTTTTTTTGGGGCTTTTTTTTAAAACTTATTTTCACCTCTAGTGATTTTAAAATATATATATATATTTCTAAATTTAGCTCGATAATTGAAAATTCATAATTTTTTTTAAAATTCAAAAAAAAATCTATAAAAGATAAAAATAAAAATAAATTAAAATAAGTAATCTTTTTAAACTTATTTTCTTCTTTAGTATTTTTTTTTTAAAAAAAAAATCAAAAAAGTATATACTTTATAAATTTGTCTTGACAAGACGGATCGGAAAAGTAAAAAAAAAAATTGACATAATTTTGAAAAAAAATTCCTAAAAACAAAATTTCAAAAAAGAAATGTGACTTTTTTTTTAATTGCCAAAATGGGCCTAAGATTCGAAGATTTTACTTTTGCTTGTATTTCCACATCCCACATTTTATTGGTTTAGATCATTATTAAGTGCAAACCGACACAATTTTGTTTTTTTTCATTCACGTCATTTAATTCTTATAACACTGTCACCTTCAACTCTCTAATCCTATCTTTAACCTAACAACTATCACCATTTACAAATTACAACCATTGTTAGCGCCCCTTTTCTGCTCTTCATTTCTTGTTTGCCCTCCCTAACGCCCTTCCTTCCTCGGTTACCGCTTCCTTAACCCCTACTTCTTCTAAAATCCTCACTGTGTTTTTGCTTCTAAAACCTTTTTCTTCTTCTTCTAAAACCCCCTTCTTCTTCTTCGTCGTCTTTATTTTTCTTCCTTCTAAATCTGGAGGGTCATGATGGTGGGGACTAAAAAACAGAGGCTAGCAATCGGCTACAGTGGAGTAAGAAAATATGGTGCATGTCTTTTTTGTCCTCAATGACAATTTGTTTGAAAGACACGATCATAATTTTCAAAAAGTAAACTAAATGGTGTAAATTGAGAGGAAGTATGTTGTGCAAATAAAAACTCCTGCATTTTGATAGGTAAGCAAATTATTTTTTTTTTTTATTCAAAAAATGACGATTCTAACTTTAGGTTTTGCCAAGCTACTATTTTTTCTCTAATTTTTCATTTTTCCAACTCTTTTTCAATGTCCTTGGTATCTCCTTTTATGACCGTCGAACTCTAATTACACTTGTCTTTTTAGGTTTCCAATTGCTTCATAAATTTATCTTCTGTTAAAAATAAATAAATATTTTGATGTCAATAATCAAATTTCAAAAATGACAATTCTAGCACTACGAATAATTAAGTTTCATTTCCTTAATTTCTTATGTGTCTTTTCTCTCACCATCTAACTCCTATAACCCGTGCTCATCCCATTTCCTCTAATATCTGCCTTCACAAGCCATCGATTCATAAATATTTTCACAAAATTCAAACTCATATCCACTGTCATACAAATCAAACCATCAAGCCAACAATAACCTCTAAACCCTAAGTTATTTATAGAGCAATACTAGGTATCATGAAAAAAATTTCATGAAAATGATCATGAAAAATTTATGATCCTTGAATTACAGTTAAAATAAAGCACCATACACTAATTAAGGTAATCCAATGGTCATAATTCTTTCATGACCATTTTCATGAAATTTTTTTCATGATCCCTAACTTTTTTCTTATTTATATTCAACAAAGCCTTTACTTCTTCCTCTATACCCCCCCCCTCTCCTCCGGTGACAATCAAACACACTACTCTCCATTCCAATCACATCATTGTCAAGTCACCATTACTCTTTATAGCATCATTAAGATATTCATCAAACAAAACCCATCTTTATACATCAGTCAAGAATAAGCCCGACGATCATATAAATATAATCTTCTTGGTTATTCTCCTTATTAGTTTGATATTTATTATTTGAACAATTATTTAATAGTCTTAACTTTTGAGACAATTGATAGTCTGATATGCTATTAGAGTTTTGGTACTGAAAAGTCTTAGTTTGAGCCTTATTGCTCTTTGTTTAGTCCATGCCCTTCCCAATTGCTTAAAGTTCCAAGACAACTGGCAATCTAACACTAAGCTTGCAATTGCTTTTTAATTGTGAGGTTTGTTCAAAGATTTGTATCACATCTTATATGGCCAGCTACCATCTCACACTACAAGAATTAACACATTTGCCGATCAAAAAATTGGTCGCTAAAAGTCCATTTTTAGTCGGCAAAACATATTCCCGACCAATTTTTTTGGTCACCAATTGAGGGTCGCGGAAAGTAATTAGCGACTAAAAAAATTTTTAGTCGGCAAAACGTTCTATTTGGCGACTAAATTGTTGGTTGCTAAACATATAATTATCGCGACTAACCTATTTAGTCGCGAAAAGACTTTGGTCGGCAAAAATTGCATTCAACGACCATACATGTTAGTCGCTAATTTGGTCGGCAAAAATTACTTTCAACGACCAACAAAATTAGTCGGCAAAAATTACATTCCATGACCAAAACTTCTTCGTCGCTAAATAATAGTTTCTACGACCAAAAAATTTGGTCGCCATTTGTTACTTTTCACGACCAAAACTTTTGGTCGGCAAAAGTGAGATTCCACGACCAAGTGTTGTTTTGGTCGGCAATAGATATATTTTTTGCGACCAAAACTCTTGGTCGGCAATTGCCATTTTTTGCAAAAAAAAATTATTTATTTGTCGCGACTAATAAATTGGTCACCAAAAGCAAGAAAACAATACACCTGTAATTCCTAATAATTCATTCAATTCATAATAAACCTATAATTTTAAAGCATCATTCAAACCAACTGAATCATTAACTTTCGACACAATACATAATTCATTAACATTCGACAAAATACAACTATTCTAAGTTTTCATTCACAAGTCACATCCATCTAGCATAACAATTTGAAACATAACTATTTGTTATCCACGCGCAGCTATCAACAAATAAAACTACTAATATTTGTTATCCATACACATCCATCCAAAAATATTTAATCCTCCCAAAAAATACTTATACTGCCAAGTAGTCTTGTACAATTTAGCTTCGTGCACGAGATCATCCATCATCCATCTATACCAAAGAAAATGAGAAATAATGTTAGGTTTGTTTTTAATGAAAATATTTGAAATGGGTAATTAAATTATCAATTTCAGAGAATCGTAAGTTCAAATCAAAATTTCTAACTCATTTGCAGGTAATTAAATTATCAATTTTAGAGTATAAGCTGCTAATTACAAATTTGAAATGGGTATTAACAGATTGGACAATGAGACTCATGTTTACACAAAGAAAAGTGCAAGGTTCATATATGGTCATGGCAAACACAATCAAGCTTGACAAGCACAGACAAACATAGAAGACTACTACAGTGTTGAAAACAATCTTCCTCTTATTTATGGTTTTCTCTGTTTTTTCGTTTCTTTTCTTTTCTTTTTCTTTGTTTATGGTTTATTTGTTTCTCCTTTTGTAGTTACTTCAAAGGAATGATCCTGAAAAGTTTGTGAACCTCGGAATCGACCCTCCTAAGGGTGTTTTATGCTATGGTCCACCTGGTACCGGTAAGACTTTTAGCTAGAGCTGTGGCTAATAGAACTGATGCGTGTTTCATCCATGTTATTGGAAGTGAACTTGTTAAGAAATATGTTGGGGAGGGTGCCCGTCTAGTTCGTGAACTATTTCAGATGGCACGTTCCAAAAAATCTTGTATCGTGTTTTTTGATGAACTAGATGCCATAGGAGGTGCACGTTTTGATGATGGTGTGGGTGGAGACAATGAGGTTCAGCGCACTATGCTTAAAATTGTGAATCAGCTTGATGGATTTGATGCTCGAGGGAACATCAAAGTTCTGATGGCATCAAATCAACCAGACACTCTAAACCCTTCTATTACTAGTGGATCCGTGGTTGGTGCTATTTGATTATATAGTCCATCAAATGTATCATCATGACAGTTTGAGATTTGCAATAGCTTTGTTGTGCTAAAAAAATAAAAAAATAAACTGTCTAACTTTTTATGTGCCACCACCAAGGTCAAACACAAGGATGTTCTTCTCACCACCTTTACTGTCGAATCCATAGGCAATAGCTGCAGTAGATGGTTCATTTAAAATTCTAGCAACATTCAACCTAGCAATAATACCAGCATCCTTGGTAGCTTGCCTTTGGGAATCATTAAAGTTGGCTATAGGTTGCAAAAAAAAGTAAAAGGGAGTACCACAGCATCCTTGGAAGAGTGGAGAATAATAGTAGTAATTTAGAAGAGTTCTACTCACCAACAACTGTGACAACAGCATCCTTAATTGAATTTCTTCCCAAGGAATGCCTTACAGTCTCCTTTATCTTAATTAGAATCATAGCACTGACCTTCTTAGGGCTAAATACCTTGGGCTTTGCATCCTTAATCTTAACTTCGATACAAGGCTTTCCATCTTTATTCACAAATTTGTGTGGAACAAGCTTCATATCCTTTTGGACTGTTATTTTGTAATTTTAAAATTGTATTTGATTTATTTAATTTATTTTATTTGATATTTGCATTTTTTTAGGAATAAATTTATAACGTTATATTAGTTTCCTAGTTTTTTGGATTATCCTACAATATCTCCTAAGTATCTAAATTATGGTTATTTAAAGACACATTAATGTGTACTAATTGGGCCCTTTTTTTTTGTTTTCTTAATTGTGTATATAATAAGACTTCAAGTAATCATCTAAAGAAGTCAAAATTCCAGTAGCATTCAAATGGTAGAGAGTCCATCTAGCAAAACATTATATCATTAAATCGAGCTTCTAGCACATAAAATTTATTGGGGGGGGAAAAATTCAAAAAGGGCATCTAGACAGATAGGTTGATCAAATTGAGCAATAGTTATCAGCTTCAAACTATCGACTAAAGATGACCATTTTCAAATGTAATGATATCATAGTTTAGAAAATGACCAGTGTTGGGCTGCTTGTGTAAGTTTTTAATTGTGTTTTAAAAATGACCATTTAAAAATATAGAGATGATTTGCAATAATATCATAAATATTCATCAAGCTCCCCGCAATAAGCACACATCGAATGAAACACAATGCAAGAATCAATGGAATAATTTGCGCTACCTTTGAGAGAGAATATAGTTCCAAACACTCCTTGGAATTCTGAACCATGAAACAGCTAAGGCACTCTTCAAGTATAATGTGATGCGCGTCATTTCTGAAATCATGTACGCATGTCCTCAACAGAAATTGAAAGTTACAAAGCTGGACATTATGATCTGCAGGATGGTAGAGTGATTCCTGCACAAGAAGCAGCAATTATTATGTACAGAAGCACAACAATCAAGCATGTCGACAAGGCCCCGTCGTAAGACAAAACACAAGTTTATGTGCATGAAATAAGAAAAACCCAAAGACATGTCAGAGCAGGGTGCCTTCTCCCATGCCTATCATAGTGCCTTCTCTACTTTCACAATGATTGACCTCTTTGTTTTCCCTTTTTATTTTCGTTGGGCTTAAGATGATTATCCACTTCATTACATATTTTGTTTAATTCTGGTATGAGTATCAGACCAGGGTGTGTGTCTAAGTGTTGAACCTCCCAAAAACCTATTGTGTGTTAGGATAAAAGAATATATATGCACATATCCAAAACTTTGGTATGAGTATGTGGATACATCTTGAACATTTAAATACATTGTATAGTCAATAGTGTGTAATATTATGGCATAATATGTTGTCATTACGTAGGAATTTACTTGAAATTAAATGGAAGGATTTCTATCTCAAATCAATGCAAGAAGCTAGAAAATTTCCTTTACTATCAAAGGTGGTGTTTTTCTTCATCAAACATTATAAAAAGATCAAAGAACCCAAATGTCTAATTTGGCCATGTAACACTGTTTAGGGAAAAAAAAAAAGGTCTAACTTAATAGCAAGGGACCAGTACTTACAAGAGCTTGGCATTTTTCATCCAAAGAGCACGGCTGAGGCGCCTAGACTGTTTCTTAAAATGAAAAGCACTGTCATGCATTGTTGCTGTTTTGTCAACAAGAAGCTCAATCCGGTCACCCCTTTCTAGTTTGCTATATGTCAACAAGAAACTGTTCTAAAGTTATGCGCGATTTAAATAAGAAACTTGAACAGTTACATACAGAACAAAAAAAGCTAAACTTCCATAGCTAAATGCCTCTTCATCCATTATCAAAAGGGAAGAAAGTATTGCTTTCTGCATGAATTCTTGAAAAAGCAGCAAAACTAGCCAAACGGAGAGCTTGTGAGATCAACTAGCTGCCATCTAGTGAGATTCTGCAATGATATTAACAGTTACAAAAAGACTGCTCTTGGGCCCATTTGACAGCAGCAATGGCTTGAATGCAAAAGAGGGTTGAATCCAAGGTTCAACTGAAAGTTGGCGAGCAAAGGGAATATGAGCAGAGGCAGAGACAGTGTGTGCTTGTGAAAGGAATAGTAAAGGATTTTCGCTTGAAGCGTAACTTCCAGGGGACAAAGCTTTTTCAAATCAAATACAATTTTAATCCTACCATCCAAAATGGTCCATAAAATGCAAGAAATTTGGAGTAGAATATCCAATTGTCTAGGCTTGCAATTGAAGGCAAAATTAAACAAAAACCCAACCAATAGAACAAAGAAGATGTCTGGATTGTGTAAGTTAATAGACCAAGTTGAGAACCAAGCCAAATTGATCTAACAAAATCGTGAAGCAAAAAATTGTGTATCGAGGTTTCAATTCGCCTATGGCAAAAAGGACAAAAGATATCTCCCTTTAGAACAATTTGGGTATATCAGAAAATGAGTGACACTAGCTGAGTTGTGTGCTTCATATAGTAGTATTGAAAGTGTGTGTGCGTGTGTGTATATATATAAGAGAGAGAGAGCATACTTCTTCATAAGTTTCTCATTTTGCTCTCAACAGAACAAGAAAGGCACTGATCAACGCCTCATTAGCTTCATGCAAAAGAAAATCCAGAGACGCCTCGGCCTCTGATTCCGACAAGTCAACTCGATTAATCAATGACTCAATCAACTACAGAGGAAACCCATATAGATAGAAATCAGAATTGCACAAAAAAACAAAAACCCAAAAATCAAAACCATTTTTTAACAAAGAAAAACAGAGATTGAGCTGATTGGAACCTTGTTGAATGATGAAATCGTTGGTGAAGTAACAGAGGACAACCCAGACACCAACGCTGTACATTTTCTGGTCCCAGCAATTGGTAAAGAAGCTTTGAAGAAGCAGCTTCGGAGGTCATAACTCGAACCAAAATTCGCCACTCGTCGCTCGCCTCCGTAAGAGAGAGAGAGAGAGAGAGAGAGAGAGAGAGAGAGACGTGTTGTTTCGAAACAGGGCTCTGCAAACCTGAAAGGAAATGAAAAAATTGGGGGAAAGACGGAAAAAATGGGGGAAATAAGTTTGGGCGGGCGGGTCAGTGAAAAAAATGGGGAAAATTTGTTTCATTTTTTTTAATGAATTTTTTTTTTATTTGGTAGAAGTAGGCTAATATTTCGATGAAAAATAATTTTCGTTAAAATAAAATTAATTTTTTATGTCAATTAAAAATATTTTTTTGTGGTCCATTTTTTTTTTATACTAAAAATCAAGAACTAATTTTTTTTGGTAGAGAAGAGGGAGCGACAGTAGTGGTGAAGGTGGTGGATATGAGGTGCTGGTGGTGGTGGTGATGGTGGTGGATATGAGGTGCTGGTGGTGGTGGTGGTAGTGATGGCGAAGGAGATTAGTGGTAAAGTTGTGGTAGTGGTAAAGGAGATAGAGTGGCGGTGGTAAAAGAGAGGTAATAGTAGTAGTAGAGAGTGAGAGAGAGATAGAGAGACAAAGAGAGAAAGAGATAGAGAGTGAGAGACAGAAAAATAGACAAAGAAAGAGGAGAGATGAATAAGAGAGACAGAGAAAGGGAGAAAAGAGATGAGCGAGAGAGACATAGAGAGAAGAGAGATGAACGAGAGAGACACAGAGAGATAGAGAGAAGAGAGATGAGCGAGAGAGACATAGAAAGAAGAGAGATGAATGAGAGAGACAGAGAGAGAGATAAAGAGAAGTGAGATGAGCGAGAAAGACAGAGAAAGAAAGAGAGATGAGAGAGAGCGAGAAGAAAGAGATGAGCAAGAGAGATAGAGAGAAGAGAGATGAACGAAACAGACAGAGAGAGAAAATATATGAGAAAAGACATAGATAAGTGAGAGACACATGGAGGGAGAGACAGACAGACAGACAAAGAAGAGTGATGAGTAAGAGAGGGAGATAGAAGAAAGAGAGGAAGATGACAAAATGGGTGAAGAGAAAGAGAGAGTGATGGAATGAGAGAAACTGACGTGCGAGAATCGATGGCAGAGAGAAAGAGACGTGTTTAAGTGTGTTTGAAATCCCTCTAGAGTTCCTCACCAAATTAATTTAAAAATCCCTTCAAAATGATAATAAATAAAAAGTAAAATTATAATAATAAATAATAGAGAGAGAAAGAGAGAGAGAATAATGATAAGTGCGAGAGTGAGAGAAAGAAAAAAAAAGATAGAGCAAGAGAGAGAGAGAGATAGACAAAGAGAGAAAGAGACAAAAAGAGACAAAGAGAGATGAGAGATGAATGAGAGAAATAGAGAGATGAACGAAAGAGACAGAGAGAGAGATATGAGCGAGAGAGACAGAGAGAGAGATAGAGAGAAAAGAGATGAACGAGAGAGACAAAGAGAGAAGAGAGATGAGATAGAGATGCGAGAGAGCTCAAGAATAAAGATGAACAAGATAGATAGAGAGAAGAGAGATGAACGAAAGAGACAGAGAGATAAGAGAGATAGAGAGAGAGATAGAGAGAGAGAGAGAAAAAAAGAGACAAAGACAGAGGCAGAGACAGAGTAGGAAAGAGAAAGAGACAGAGAGAAACAAGAGATGAATAAGAGAT